TAGATAGATAGATAGATAGATAGATAGATAGATAGATAGATAGATAGCTGAAAACACACTTCCCAAACTGTGCTAGACTCTACAATGCCATTGATTATTTCCTGGAGTTTCAGAACAAAAAATACTTCATCCATGAAGCTATCTACATAACTCAGATATTTTAAAAAGATAAAAAGTTCAGAAATATCTTCTTTTCAGATGCTACAGAGATAACCAGTGAATTTTGTTTCCCTTGGTATCCAGTAAGTCACAAAATATTAAAACTAAAAAGAACTTTGGAATAATCTAGGCCTCTCCTCACCCATAGATGACTTCTTAATACCTCTTGCATGTGTGACTAGATCTAGCCACTAGCCAGTGTCACTGTGAACCTAGGAAAGGGAACTCTCCCATGGCTGAAGTCTCGCATGATTGTTCATTTGATTTCCACCCTACCCACGTATTAACCTACAAATTCTATATTAGGAAATTCTTTCAAGAAAATATCTTCAGTGAATTTTCTATAGCATTAATAATCGTATGTTCCCCTCCATATGTTTTAAATAAAGTAAGAAAATGTACTATAAAACCTGGAAAAATTTTTATAGTAAATGTGGAAAACATATAAAAGGAGAAACAATCTACTTTCCAACAACAAAAGTTAATTTTAAAATTATACATGTTTTATATTAAAGAACTATGATTTTGTTAGGAAATATATATATATATATATATATATATGCATATATACATATATATATATATATATATATATATATATATTCAGACACACACATACACATGTACCACATACACTTATATATACATATACATTTTGATTCTGATGTTCCAATATTTTTATTAAAAAATCAAGTCATAGAATGGAATATTAAATATAAACTAATTTTTGTCATGTATAAGTTACAGGCATATACACAATAAACTTATATTTATAGACAATAACCTGGATGGTTCCAAACAAAAATGTCATTAGTGTTGTATTTTAGTAATATGAAAATTTCTTTTGTTTCTTTATAATAATTCCATAATGAGCAGATATTATATAAATTATAAAAATCTTCATAAGCTTTTGTTTGAAAATGTGGTGAAAAAAAAAAATCCTGTCTTTTCTTGCTCCAGTCTCCAAGCCCTTGTGCATGTCTTTGTGGTTCTGTCCATTTGCATTTATATTGCATAGAATGACTCTACCACTAGGTCCACAGCCATCATGCACTTTTGTCTTTCAAATGTTCTTTACAAGGTTTATAGGTATACTGCTCTTCAATCCAAGAGTTCCTAGAAACACTGTCATTCTGGTGATTCATGTTTAATAAATGGATTTGAAAATGTGCCAGAAAAATAGCTCATCACAATTTTGGGTGACATGGCAAATAGTATAGTTTACAACGAAGGAACATATGGAAGAAAAGAAAAACATGGACAAGATATATAATGGACAATCATCTTGACAAAATGCAGACTATTAAGTATCAATAGGATATGTGCATGCACCAGACAACTCTAATTGAAGGTATAGAGTGCGCGATAGTCACACGTGATAGGAATTAGTCAAACATGGGCGTTAGCTGGAGTTGATTGGAGTAAATAATGGATTCTAAGAAGAAATAGGCAAAGACAGTTCGAGTCCCCTGTTCTTGCTCTGCTATCCTTCCTCCCCTTGTTGCTCCTCTCTCATTAAATAAAAATTTATTGAGAATTTTGCTGTATGCAGTTTTCCTCCAAGCCCTGTGCATAGCAAGAAGATTGATAATCTTCTTCCAAAATATTTATTGCTTAATTGGTAAACCAGAAATATTAGTCATAAGTATGACACAAAGCAGAAAAAGAATATCCTGATTCAGATTTTACGCAGATACCAAAATTTATGCACTATTACAAATGAGCTAATCTGGCTAATGTAGGTAAGATCAATGTACGTCAAGATCATTGCCATGGTAAAAATTCACTCAGAGTAGAAGAATGCACTAAAGTTCCAGTCTCTCTTTTCTCTTCTACAGGTCTGTCTGTGAAACAGGTGAAGGACGTTGCAAGTGGTCCTTAAGGAGACTATAACTGACTGAATCCTTATATATAGTCCTAATTTGATGTACTAAATGTAATCTCTAAAGAAATGTTATTTTCCTAATGTCAATAATAAGCACTCTTGTAAGGAGGGTATGCACCTATGTATAGTCCAAGAACACTAATTCAAGCACATTAGTCTATTGGCTATGGAATCTGACACCTTTTGATCTGGTCAGTGTCTTGGGCTTATGTCACTTTATGTGTAGTTATTAAAATTAATGTTTGATATAATAAATATTGGCTGACTCAAGTACTTAAACATTTCTGGATTTTAATTTAGTTAGGGTTTTCTACCTCTATTTTTATAATAGTATCTCATATTTTGGGTAAATAAACATTAAACTTTGCCCACATGTACAAAGATACAGCAATAGTCCTGTGCAGCAGTTGACTGCTTAGTGTTAGCCTCTGAGATGTAAACTCTTTGCATCAGGAAGAAATTTATCCCCCATAACTGCCCCAATATAATATTACCCTTCCCTATTAAAATATGGTGGATATGTAACTTCAGTAAAGCAAAACAAAGAATAATGAAATGCATGCCCTCAGAAAAATTACAAGGAAATCACTTGATTATTTATGCAATTATTGAGCTACATTAAGACTTCCCATTTAAATCTGATGTATGCTTACTTTTGGAATGTGCTATGTATTGATTCTAAATGAATGGATCTCAATCAATCTATTGAATATATCTGCTATCTTTTATCTTGTCTTTATGCAAGTTTTTTTGGTGGGCTTTAATGAATTAAGGCTAAATTATACAACTCTGTATAGCTATAAGAGAAACAATTGTTAAAGACTAGAATGTAGCTAAGAAACAAGCAATTTCTGACTTCTGAATTAAATCATGTTTATAAATATAAATAAGAAAGTTATAAATGATGTAATAAATTTTCTTACATTATTGTTTTCTTGTATGATGAAACTAATTTTAGTAATAAGTATTTTTATAGATGGAAATAAATTAAAGGTTTATATACTAGTTGCTGTTTGTGGATGTGACAACATAACTGAGTATCATCAACCTAAAGGAGAAACTTTTATTTTTATCCATGTTTTTGGAGGTTTCAGAGCATGGCCTACTAGCTCCTTTGCCATTGGCCTGTGGTGAAACAGATTGTCATGGCAGAAGGAACATGTGACATGAGATCACTCACTTCATGAAGGCCCAGAAGCATAGAGATTGAATATCAGAACAACATACCTTTCAGTGACCCATTTCCTCCAGCCAGGTCCAGCCTTCTAGTTTCTACTACATTCCAACCCATGGTTAATGGTCAGTGGTTAATAACCAGTTAACAGTCCTTTCATCAACAGATTACCCCATTGATAAAGGTCTGACAACTTAAAATCCAATTGCTTCTCTGAAACTTTACTTCTGAAGATGTTATTGTGAACCCTACAAGTTTTAGAGAGGGGACATTTTTTGTCCAAATTCTTGGAAAACAGTTTTTAAGCAGAAAGTCAGAAAATAGATTAAGCTTATAGGATCAGAATATTTCTTACTTAACACTCTACATCATGAAATGAAGCTTCAAAAAGATTCAACTGAGGATTGAAAATATTTTCCTTGTTAGAAATTTTTGGTTTAAAATGTGTCACAAATAATGTGTTTATCTGAAAGCCACACTCTCCTCCAATAATGACATATTTAAATGTGGCCTTCCATTTGCCAATGGGCCTTTCCTGAAGACTACCAGCCTCCTGTCCCACATGAATCTCAAGAGTCACATGCACCAGGAAGAATGGATGTTATTACATGTACCAAGGAAGATAGGCCAAGTCAGATACTAAGCAAAAGGTAAGAACATATTCTAATCAACTACCTACTGCTGCAAACAAAAGGGAGTCTAGTGTGAACTAAACTCAACCCCAGTTTGTACATAAGTGAACGAGTGTTTCCATAGCATAATGGGTGAGTAGACATGATGAGTGACAACTGAGGTTTGAGTAGAGTCAGGAAAAATGGAAATTTACAAAATGTAGGCATGGAAAAGGATGGTTGTTCCAGGTGAAACTCATCTGACTTTGCTCAAGGTTTTTCCAAAGATACATGTTTAACCTATGACAGAGACAGATAGTGTGGCTGCAGCATGGCTGTACAGCTTTGCCAAGTGGTACAGATGAGAAGTCAGTAGCAAGAAAATTATAGGATCGGTTGCAAGATATACTCCATCCAGAGGGGAAGGAAAAGCCAAGAGCTTTGAGCAAGCAAATAGTATAACTTGCCTTTTAGGAAGACAATTTCTGGAAACAGTGAGGAAATTGGTCATAAAGGGAAGACTGGATGCCAGAAGATTGGTTAGGACACTTACAGAATCAGAGCTGGAAAGCAAACTGCACAGAAAGGGAGGAATCTAGACAACTAATTGATTAAAGATGGGAGAGAAAGGTCATAGAGAGCATTCAGATTCTGGCCAGTACACCTGGTGGTGAAATATCTTTAAACGATGTGCAGATGTTCAAGTGTTCAGATCAGCTTGGGATATAGCCAAGATTTTAAGTGTCATCATTGTGCGGATGATCAGACAAAGCATAATAGAAGTCAAGGCAGTAGGTGACATCACCTAATGAGAGTTTGTGCAGTTGAAGGAGGACAGACATCCTAGGGAAACTGAGGATTTAAGAAATTGAAAAAATGATTTCAAGAGTCAATGTTTTATAGACACGTCATAGAGTGGGTGGTCCACACATTGTGTCTAGGAAGCAGAAGGTCAAAATCCTTGAACCTCAGGTCTCTGGTTCCCATAAGCACAGCTGGATTTGTAGGGAGAGACAAGTGTGGCCACATTTGTGGAACAACCTTTAGTAAGCCAGTTAATGATGCTGTAGAAATTTCCTGTGGGTGGACAGAATAAAAGCAACTCTATTGGAATAGAAGCCAGCATGTAGGAAATCTAGCATTTTCCTCATTTAGGTCCTAAATAAGGCATTGCAAATCTGAGGTCCTTTCAGTCAGTGAGTTCTGATGTCTGCTTTGAGTGTCTGTTTCTTTATTTTGTAGTAATGAAGGGGCTTAAGAATTTGTCCAGTTGGCTTATCTCTGTGTAGTCTATTTATTTGCTTACTTATTTATTGAATTTTATCTGTGTTTGTGTGTGTGTGTGTGTGTGTGTGTGTGTGTGTGTAAATACATACACAATATTGTGCATGTGGAGATCAGAGGGCAGCATTGAGTTTCAGTCTTCGCCTTCCACATTGTTTGAGACAGGATCTCTTGTTCACTAATTCATTTGTCAGGCTGACTGACTAGTATGCTTTGAGAATCTCCTAGGTTTCTCCACCTCCTATTTCCCTGTAGGAACCTTGGGATGTCCACTACCGTGTCCACCTTCATGGGGCTTCTGGAGATCCAAACTCTGGTCCTCAGTTTTGCGTGTAAGTATTTAACCCATTTAGTCTTGATATAGTTTTAATGTTTTATGTTTTTATACATCTTCTCTGTTTTCAAACTAATGAAGCATACATTTCTATTGAGTATACAGAAAGCCACTTTCACTAGGTGTGGACCTGAGAGCAGCCCCCACAATCTATCTTCATCTGAACATGGAGTTTTTGTTCTCCTGGAGATGCTATCTTCTACATGCCAATACCTTTTGGTTTTCAACTCGTGTTTCATTATTCTGTAAACTTTGTGTGGTGTTTCTTTTGCCTCTTGTCTTTGAAGTTTTTAGAACCCCCACATCTGGAAAGCCAATATATGAGCATCTGAGAAAAGGGTAGAGCCAGGCTTAGATCATTTATGGTGTGTATGAAGAGCCTATGAGAAGAATTGAGCCATTGTCTCAAGGAGACAGAAACCACACAGCAATTTTCTTTCAAATGTTGCTTACTACATGCAAAGAGGAGTGCACAGACTCATAGGTGAAATGGCCATCATATGATTTACAAATGTAGGTTTAGAAAGAGTGTAGAACCAATGGTGAAACTTGTAGATCTAGCTTTGTATAAAGGCCTTTATAAACAATGGGAACTTAATGAGCTCCAAGATTTGCATCACTATATTGACTCTCAGTGAAAGGGGGACTATGGTAGTTGTAGAAACTTTACATTATATTTTGAAATTATTTTTCTTAATAATGTAAAAAAGTTTTTTTAAAGATTTTATTTATTTATATAAGTGAGTGTATTGTATCTGTCTTCAGACACTCAAGACATAGGTATCAGATCCCATTGCAGATTGTTGTGAGCCACAATGTGATTGCTGGGAATTGAACTCAGGACTTCTGAAAGAGGTAAGCCAGCCCCAGTTAAATTCTTTCCTTTATAAAAGTTGACATGGTCATGGTGTCTCTCCCAGCAGAATAAATTCCAAGTAAGAAAACTGTTAAATGACAAATGTTATTTCAAGAAACTTGACTCGTCAGTCCTTTCTGAAAGTAGACTACTTGCATGGAACCTGTAAAACATCTATATAAGAAAACATACATGGAGATCTTAGTGCCGTGTTTTGTTTTTCAAAAACTTCCTAGTTAGCTGTGGCTTTTCAGTCAATGCTCCACAGTAATTAATGACAGAAAAACATAAAATTGTAGCGTACAATCCCAATTCATTAAGCATCTACTTTAGCTTGTCTTCTAACTCAAGTGCTTCTGCAAGTTAGCTGTACCATCTCATAATTAGGAGGATTCTAAGAAAGATACACAGCCGGGATCTAAATCCCATGGTAATGAATCAGAACATCTAGAGGTGAAACCAGAATACTTGTGAGTCTCTTTAGGTGACTCTTATATGTACTTAGGTCCAGAAACACAACTTAAAATATGATGTGATGTAGCATATCAAAGAGATCTGAAAATTGTATTTTCTTTATAATCCATAGCTGAGCAAATAATTTTCTTTGTAAAATGGAATAACAGTTGTAAATTTTTCAGTAACTTTTTAGAAAATGACTGCTTTCCTCGGTAAGTTATGTCTGAGTGTCTCCCATTTTAGCTTCTTCCCAAAACCTCTGTGTCCTTTTTATCATCTAATGTTTACAGTGTCTCCAAGAGGTAGTCTGTTGGCTAGCTCCCATTGTTTTTGTCAGGGTTTCTGTAACACTATGATCAAAAGTGAGGTGAAGAGGAAAGGATTTCTTTGGCTTTCATATTATTATCAAAGAAAGTCATAACAGGAACTCAAACAAGGTAGCAACCACAAGAAAGGACCTAATACAAAGGTCATAGAAGGATGCTGCCTACTGACTTGCTCTCCGTGACTTGTTCAGGCTGCTTTATTATATAACTCAGGACCACCAGGGATGGCACCATACACAATAGGCTTTGCCTCTCCTAACTAAGAAAATACCCTAAGGCTTACTTGCAGCCCAAGTTTATGGAGGCATTTTCTTAATTGAGGTTCCCTCCTCTCAGATGATTTTGGCTTCTGTCAAGTTCACATGAAAGTGTCCAACACATCACTTGTGGGACCATGATAGGATGGTTGGTTTTGGTAGAAGCACTGGCTGGAAATAGCCCAGAGAGATGGGCATCAATTCTGCCATGCTCCCAGAATCCAGGCTCCTAACACATGGTATAGATCTCCATTGACCTGCACTGTTCAGTGACGTAGGGCAATGCAGCCCCTCCCAAAGAGCACAGGTAGAGGGCATGACTACAGGCCTCAGGCCCTAGAGAGATTTACATACTAATGAGATACCTGAAGGCCAGAGGGCGTAGCCAATTAAGCATTCTTCCCCAGACTCTCCCCCCTTCTCATTCCCTATTTAACTCAGGTCTGCCCTGAGTTTCACAGGGGTTCTGCAAGATTCATCTACATCTGACACGAAAATAAACCCTTTTGGAACCATGGGCTTTCTCTTGTCTTTAGGGCCTGCTGTGGGAAATCGCAGAGAAGGCCTTTAATGAGCTGCTGTAGCCACAGCCTCGGTGCCTAACTTCCTGCCTGGAGGACCTCTCTGAGTTCCAGCCACAGGGACCCACAATCACTCTTAGAGAGGAGAAAGAAGCCAGTGAACTGGACGATGGATGGTGTAGG